GGCATTCACCCACGAAAGCTTATGCTCCAATACTTCTGTTAGTCTTAAAGGTGCCACAGGACCCTCTGTTGCTTTTTATTTGAGGAAGTGCACATAAATTTGTTTATGAAGGGGAGTTATTGCCATCTGTTATGGTTGTAACAGTGTCTTTATTTAAATGGGAAAAATAAATTCCCTTGTTGCCCACTCTTGATTCTTATAATCATGCTCCCCTCAGGTGTGCAGAGTTTATCATCAGCTGAAAGGAAATTGTTGTGGGACCCTCTTGTTAAAAGATTGGCAGCTCATCTTCACTTTGCTTCTGCATGTGTAAACTGGGGATAACATTTAGATACACTATGTGGGAGGATGCATTAGATAATGCTATACCGCATTTTTGCACATGTGAAACAGTATATAAGTGCTGAGTATTAATCATAAAATGGTGGCAATAAGGTATGTAGTATAAAATGTTACGGCAGATTGCTCTATGACTTATTTTACTACAACATTACCTGTATGAACCTGTAAATATATAATGATATATATAATACAAAATGAACCTGTAAATATATACAGAAACCTAAATTCAGTCTAATTCCTACACTTGAACTGAGTTACCGTAAACTTCAGAGGGAGGTAGGACATGCATAAAATAATGATTCACTTATCCCCTGAGAAATACTTATTTAAATATATAATTTTACTGAACAGATTTGCTGTACATGTTTTGATAGATACTAGTCATCTAGGAACATAGAAAGTTGACTCTTATTAGTTGTCAGCTGTGTGTAGAAAAATTTGGAACTGTTCCTAATTCCTCCTCACTAGAGCATACAGACTCCGACTTGCATGCAACGCTGTCCCAGGCAGACCAGTGGGTAGGAGGATGCTGTGGGACACTTCCCTTGCCCACCAAGCAGATCACTGTATCATCTAGTATGACCTGATAGCTGCTGATCTGGCAGAGGGGTTTACTGAGGGTTACAAGTCTCCCTCCCACCTCAGAATTGTCCACAATTATTTGGCCCAGCCTAGGAGGTCTCCAGGGAGCGTGCCTTCCACTCTTGCAAAATTTCACAAACATGAAAATAAAAGTCTGCCTTGCTGTACTACAGACTTCATTTTCCCCTTTGAATTTATGCAGTTAAAATAAACTTTGTATTTATACTGAACTTGATGGTTTTTTCATGCATCCTTAGACATGAACAAAACTGAATCCAGCTTTAGATGGATCAGTAGTAACCTATTCATACAGCTTACATTTCTATATATCCCATTACTCTGTGTGCCGGATACTGTGAAATCTGATTAATTTTATTTTCTTTTTTAATGATTCAGCTGTCATAGAAAGCAACTCATTCAGAAAATTACTTTTACTAAAATTCTGTTATGCAATAAAATGAAGTAATTAGGAATGTGGTTGAGAGAGACACAATAATCCTTAAGAACACAATTTCCTGTGCTAGGTTGGAACTAACTAAGATCCTTGCACTTAATCTTTCAAAGAGTAGCTCTTTGCTGTTTGTTAAGGCTGGAATTTTGTGTGGCTGAAAATTCCACAAGGTTATAGTTGGGTTTGTTGGCTTTTTTTCCCTCCAAAGGCTATGAAAAATGGAAGCTTCTTCAGTACATACACACTGCACATAACATAAAAACTTACTCTGTCCAGGAATTTTTTTTGAAGTATCAACCATTCTGCCAGTGAGATTTTTTTGCATTAGGATAAGCAAGTTTGAATGTAAATCAATCTAGGAAAATATTTATTTTAAGATTAACAAGGCCCTAAATCTTGCTCCTTCCCATTTGGTCACCTCCAAGCCTCCTCTCCTCCCTCACCCTAACTCATGGCCCCTAAGTGAGCCCATAGGTCTTGAAAGGCAATGCAAGCAATGGGATTATCCTGCAGATGGAACAAGAAGCAAGTGCAGGGTGGATTCTCACATACCCTGCACATGACAGAGCTATGCTGGGCAGGATATACATTAACAGCAGCACAGAAGTTTTGGGAGCTTAGCCAGGGATGTGGCCAGTAGATCTGCATTTTTGCCCAGGGGTTGTACTAGTAGCCATAGAGTGTGAATGTCCATGGTCTGTGGTAGCAACTGTAGGGAAACTACTCTAGCACTCAGCAGCCCAAATATTCTGCCCGAGGCCCGTGGAGCACCCCTTTCCAGTTTACTTCAGGTTGGGTCCTAAATTAACTAATTGAGCCATAATATATTACTTATGTAATCATCAAATATCTCCTGCTGGGAAAGATGTTCCACAGTGTTTTCTCCATTACAAACTCTGTACAGTAAACAACTTTTACAGCATTAAACACCCCTATTACTGTTGAGGGGAGCTCAATGCTAAGTATGGCCTATAGTCTACAGACTCCTGAGTAATTCCTCTTTTATTGTGGATGTGTAAAACTTATTGTACAATACCTTTTATACACTGGGTCAATATCAGGAAACCTCTGCACTTAACATACTTTAACACAGCGCTCTGTAGGGTCAACATTAAGTCAGAAAGACTGACCCAATTAGATAAACTCCTGGAAGGATTACATGGATATCCTGGAAACTTATTAGCCAGAAAAAGATCACTTTGAAGTTTGAGATCTGTAAAGCTGAAGAAAAGCCAAGTACAGGCTCTCATGTATCTCAGTCGTGTAGGATAGATTAGTTTAACTAATACACTTTACTCTGTAGTTTTACAGAGCCATTTTGGAACAGACAACCAATCAGCTTGGAGTTGCCTAAGCTTTTTTTATTTGTGGCTTTCAGTTTTATTCTAAAGTTGGTTATCAAGTGAGGCAAAGTACAAGGAGAATCGTGTCCATTTGCCCATATGTACAGCACAAAGGCATTTCAGATAACAGCACAAAGAATGAACTGTTTAGAAACTGACTCCCATCATGATTTTTTGAATATAACAGACATTGTCTTCACTTTTTGATACAGTATCTTGCACTAAATAGCAAATTAGTAAATTCAGAGTAAATTCTTACCATCAGGGAGATATACAGACTATAAGAATGATCACTTTTCATGTCAGTTTTGTTTTCCACATATTCCTTAAACAAGTACTTTGAATTAATATTTAAAGCTCATCTTTCTGAGGAAAAATCCTAGACTGAAGATGGATTTTTTTACAAGCAATTGAAAGAGAAGGGTTTAGCTTTCCAAAGTTGGATTTGTAATATTTTCAATCTAAACAGACATGGGGAAAAAAAGCAGAGGAGGGGAGAGACCCAAGACAAAGAGATATGTGACAAAAAGTTGTTTGTTAAAATTGGGATGTTAAGCTTTAATAGGTTGTGGGACGTTTCCCCGCACCCCACAATTCTTCTTCTCAACGAGGAGTTAATTGGGTTAATACATTTGAGATCTCCCTTTCATAAGAGAAACCTAGTAACATGAAAGAGAGACAAAATTGCACTTGCTCTTACCTTGCGTGATTTGGTGCCAAATCTAACCTGTTAAAAACCTGTTTGAGAAAATAAAGTTTCATGAATGTTGTACAGAAAAGTGGCAGAGAGGACAAATTCAGGATTATGAATAGTCAACATAAAAATACTCAAAAAGAACAGGAGTACTTGTGGCACCTTAGAAACTAACAAATGTATTTGAGCATAAGCTTTCGTGGGCTACAGCTATGTATCTGATGAAGTGAGCTGTAGCCCACAAAAGCTTATGCTCAAATACATTTGTTAGTCTCTAAGGTGCCACAAGTACTCCTGTTCTTTTTGGAGATACAGACTAACATGGCTGCTACTCTGAAACCTGTCATAAAAAATACAAGACTTCTCAAATTACATAGGCATGATTGCATAGATGTTATCTAAGGGAAATAACTCCTTGTTGGAGATGTGAAAGAGCAGATGGAGACATTTGATATAAAATAATTGATCAACTTCATTTAGAGCAATCAGCTAGCTTGAAAACATCAGCTAATGTATTTTGTTTGACACCTCACTATATCTTAAGCTACTACTTTGATACGATGGTGATGTGTGCTCTATGGCAATAGCCACTCTACAAAAAACAATAGATACATAAGGGATTTTACATTTGTTCTTAGAAGTAGCTCATGTCAAAAGACTCTGGGGAGTCCAGTTCAGCTGGCCTGTCCAGGAGGGATAGTTCCATAGTCCTGCTGTCACCTAAACTACTTTGAGGAATCAAGTGCTGTTGCCAGTGCACGGCTGGCATTACCTGCCCCATCATTGTCACTCTTTTTAACCATTCCAAGGGGCTTGTGCTGTGTCTCCTTTTTTTCCTCAGGTTGGATTGCCAAAAGGTAGTAGAAATTTTTCTCTCTTGAGGTCGGTGGGGGGATCCCTGTGGAAGAGGGGAATGAAGCAAACCCAGTATAGTCCTTCACTCCTTCCTTCCGAGACTGTGGATGCTCTTCTCTGTGAATACCATGTGACTAGAGCGCCTTAGATTTTGAAAAAAAACATGGTGGTCTGGAGAATAGTGGCAACCAGTGGTCCCTCCCACTTGTCAGGACATTGTACCTTGGCAAATGATCACATTTTTCTAAATGAAATTCTACCAGGAGTTAATACTGCCAGAGTTGAGCCACCAGTGGCGGCCTGGCTATGAGTGAGCTGCGCAGGCTAGCTCTTAACCCAGCAACAGCTGCTCCTCACTGGTTGCTCAATGCTTATGGCCACTACTGTTTCTGCTCCTGTGTTGCCTTGTTCCTGCTGCTCCTGCCTTGCACCCAGACTTGCTTCTTTCCTGCTCATGCCTTGACCCCCCTCCTTGCCTGATACCCTGTTCACTCCAGTTCCTGACCTCCAGCTTGACATGTGGCTTTGGCTTCTGACTACCAATTCTGGGTTGACCCTCGGCTCTGATTTCTGACTCTTGAACTCCACCTTGACCCTTTGCTCCAGCTTCTCACCACTGGGTATCTTATCTCACTCAAGAGTGTGGCAATGGACCTCTGGAAGGTGACACCCATCACTGATTGGGTGGCACCTAAGGATGACTGTGGAATCCAATGCTTCTTGGGTCTGCTAATTTTTATAGATGACTTAGCCCAGTATTCTTTGCTCTGGCCAGTCCTCACACAGCTTTGCTGCAAAAGGGAGTCCAGTTTTCATGGTTCTCAGAAGCACAGCCTGCCTTTGATAATTTTTGAAACAGAGATCCATCACACCTCATATCTTGATCCACTCAGACCCTGCCAGATCATTTACAGTGGAGGTGAACATTTCAAACTTTGCACTGGGGCAGTCCTTTCCCAACCCACTGATGAAATGATCAACTTCACATGTGTGCTTTTTATTTGCAAAAACGCACTCCTGCTGAGATGAATTATGACATCCTGGAGAAGAACTGCGGGCCATGAAAACAGCCTTTGAAGAAAGGTGCTATCTTCTGGAAAGGGCTATACTCCCAGTCCAAGTTCTGATGGATCATAAAAACTTGCAATACCTAAAAATGGCCAGACATCTGATCCAACAGCAGGCATGCTGATCCATCTTCTTTGTGTGCTTCGAGTTTGTGATCTCCTCCGGGCCAGGGGACAAAGAGGGGGAAGGCGGATGCATTGTCATGAAAGAGTGAGTACTACAAACTTGGTGAGGAGACTATGTCCATGATTCTCAAGCCCTCAAACTTCATTTCTAGCACCAGAGCCTCCAACCTGTTATCCTCAATCTGTTGTCAGTTACCTAGCATTCAGGTATCAGAGGGGTAGCCGTATTAGTCTGAATCTGTAAAAAGCAGAGGGTCCTGTGGCACCTTTGAGACTAACAGAAGTACTGGGAGCATAAGCTTTCGTGGGTAAGAACCTCACTTCTTCAGATGCAAGTAATGGAAATCTCCAGAGGCAGGTATATATCAGTGTGGAGATAACGAGGTTAGTTCAATCAGGGAGGGTGAGGTGCTCTGCTAGCAGTTGAGGTGTGAACACCAAGGGAGGAGAAACTGTTTCTGTTTTCCTAGCATTCAGTTTGCCATCCAAACCTATCAAACCTTAGACCACAACCCAAACAAGACCTCCACCGTCTTCACGTTTCAGGATGGGATTCTATACTATGAGGGACTCGTCTGTGTGCCTGAAGTAGCCACTCAGCTTTGAGTCCTACAACTCTACCATGACACTCCCCTAGCAGGCTGCTTTGGCTGTTCAGAGACTCAAGACCTGGTTTCTAGGAACTTTTGCTTGCCTGCCATACATATCTCTGTTGCATCCTATGTAGATTCCTGCAATCTTTCCACCCAGACCAAGATCTCTGTTCAAGACCCCTCAGTCTCCTCCAGCCCTTACCCACTCCGCCTTGCTCTTGGACCATCATTTCCATGGTCTTTATCAAGGAACTATGAACCTTCAAAGGCCACGCTACCATTCTAGTGGTGGTTGACCTCTTGACCAAGGTGCCAGGTGCTTCCCTCTGCTCAGAAAACTGCCTGCTTGTTTGTGAGCAGCAAACAAAACAAAAGCAGCTTGTTTTTTCTCCACAGCTTGCCTATTGGTGTGGTATCTGTTGTGGATTCCAGTTTATTTCCAATTTCTGGTGAAAATTTTTATGCCATCTGAGTATTGATGCTCTAATCTCTACAGCTTATCACCCCAGCACCAATTAGCAGGCAGAGCAGGTCAATATGGTCCCTGAACAGTACCTACATAGTTTAGGAAGCAATCATCAAGATGATTGCCTGTCCCTAATCCCTCACACTAAATTCACTTACAATACCACAAATATCTCCTCCAAGTAGACTCCTTTCTTTGCTAACTGTGGTTTCCATCTTCGTGCTCATTCAGAGATCCTCTCTGAATCATCGATGCCTGCTATTACTGAACTCAGGGACCACATTCAGCAGGTATACCAAGAACTCCAGAGGCGTTTAGAAGTCATCAAGGCAACTTACAAATGGTATGCTGCCAACTGGTCCCACCAACCAACACCTGGCTTCAGGTTAGGGGAGAAGGTATGGTTGTCTGCCTGGAATCTGAGATTGACTCACCCTTCCATGAAGCTGGACTATAAGTAGCTGAGGACTTTCCAGATCATACAAAAGACTGACCTGGTTACATTCAAGTTACAGCTACCAGATTACTTAAAGATTCGTCCTATCTTCTATGTCTCTCTTCTAAAACCTTTAGTCAAGAATTCCTTCCCACTTGATACTACTTCCCCACCCCACACCCTCTTCCTCCTAAATCATTCAGAGCCAAGAAAAATATATAGGTCATCAGATTCTAGATTCTTGTCGGGTCTGAGAAAAACTATATCTAATTTAGTGGTTCTCAACTTTCCAGACTACTGTACCCCTTTCAGGAGTCTGATTTGTTTTGCATGCCCCAAGTTTCACCTCTTAATCAGACATAAAAGTATAAAAAGTGTTACAGCACACTATATTACTGAAGCCCGAGCCCCCCTGCCTGCAGAACATGTCCATGCCCTGGATCTCCTGTATGCCTTTCACTATACTTACCCTGAGAAACCAGGTCCCAGGGCCCCTAGACAACACTCTCGGTGCAGGGGAGGACACTGTCAGGAATCAGGGCCTACAGCACAGCTAGTCTCCAGGCAGCCTCATCAGTACTGTTGACCTGAAGCAGGACAACTGACTGTCCATGCCACCTGTCTTAAATTAGCAACAGCTCACTGACTGCCCAATGCTCATATGCACCACTTTGCCTGCTCTTATGTTACCTTGTTCCTTCTGCTCCTGCCTTGAACCAAGATTTGCCTCTGTCTTGAATCCCTCCTTGCCTGATACCCTGTTTTCTCCAGTTCATGACCTCTGGCTTCTGACTATTGATGCTGACGTGACCCTCAGCTCTGGTATCTAGCTTCTGACCTCTGGCTTGACCCTTGGCACCAATTTCCAACTACTGACTCCAGCTTTGCTCCTAGTCCTTGGTTCCCAATGCTTGCTCTGACTACTAGGCATGACACCAGCTCCAACCACTAAGTCTGACACCACTCTGACCACTAAGCTATACCATCAGGGGGGGGAGGGATAGCTCAGTGGTTTGAGCATTGGCCTGCTAAACCCAGGGTTGTGAGTTCAATCCTTGAGGGGGCCACTTAGGGATCTGGGGCAAAACCAGTACTTGGTCCTGCTAGTGAAGGCAGGGGGCTGGACTCGATGACCTTTCAAGGTCCCTTCTAGGAGATAGGATATCTCCATTTATTTAAATTTATCAGCTGACAAAAAATTACAGGAGATTCCTAATAATTCTAAAATGTAATCACAATTCTGGCCCTGCCACCCTTTAGCATCTACCATTTTCCTATATCAGTTTTCAGAACTCTTACCTGTATTGGACTTCCAGTTCCATCATCTCTTACACTCACTTCCAGTGGGCTTTGCTTGCAATCTTGTCAGTCTCTGTTAGACTGACCACACACACCTCTTGAGGTAGAAGTGGATAGTAAGCTAGAATTGGAAATGCCAGCATCAGAAGAAACTCAGCTGGGGTTGGAGGATTCAGCTAGAGGTTGTGGGGAATCAAAGAGAAAAGATGAGGCTGTGAATTGGGACATTTTAAAAAATAACAGTTTATGTTGTTTCCATGACTTTTGCAAGAAGAGATAAAAGTTAGTATTAATTGAGCATGGAAATAATATAAGTAATTTAAATCATGGAATCTGTGGCTGTCATGCAATCCATGACAGACTTGCTAGCCTAGTCATGACAATATGCAGTTCTGTGTCACCACAAACATATAAGGTGATGTAGGATTAGAAAGCTTTCTGTTCATTTGGATGAAATGTAAAGTGAAGAGATTTTTGCCAGTGAGATGAGTCTGTGTTTCAATGTGTTTGGCACTACAAGTGGTTTGGTCTATGTTTTTATTATTTTTCAGTATGGATTTGCAGTGAAATACAATACAGATTATAACATCTATTCCATCCTTAAGATTCATGGGATATACATTGCCAAATTTATCTTTACAAAATTCTGTGCAAAGAGAGTGAGACTTTTGTGGCAATCTTCCTTTAATGACATCAACTTTTCAGTAATGGTCTCTGTCAAGGCTGG